GTGTGTGTGTGTGTGTGTGTGTGTGTGTGTGTGTGTGTGTGTGTGTGAACTCCCTGCCCCACTACTGTATTATCTAACCCTATTGTCCACAAAACAATTCAGATAACACAGAGGCTAGCTAACAAACACAAAGTTGAATGGCAAAAGATACCATTACATTTGGGAGAAGAAAATCCGTTGTTTTCACCTTCATAGTTACACTGGAGAATATGTGGTCAAATTTTAGGGACAGAGTCAGTAATGGGTCATTCATCTTGGAAACCTTTGAAACTCAGACATATGTGAAATTAAGGACTTTTCTGCATATAACATCTGCAACAAAACAACCTCCCATATTGCATCATTTGGGCTTTTGAGTTTTATTGCAAATGGAAGTGCATTTTGATTGGTGGAAAACTGAAACAATGCCAGGAAATGCCCAATATTCCAATGTGATTATTATTATTATTATTTTAAAACTAACTCTTTTCTGAATTGCAGAGTGCAGTTTTTTTTGGGGGGGGGGGAGTGTGGGGAGAGGGAGGCCTACAATTATTTCGTGGTTAAAAATACCACAGATCTTCCTGACTGCTAGGCCAATGAGGTTTTCTAGACATGTTTCAGTTAGAGCTTGCCATAGAAGGAACAATCTGCTTTCCTCCCAGAAGCAAATGTGAAAATGTACCACAAAGTAATTTACTTTAAGAAATGCTAGTACTTATCTTTGTCCAAGTCCCACCCAGATAAAATTTAGTAATATGCGTTTTTAGGCATTAACTTCCTACATATAAGCTGGTAAAGTGACAGGGGTTGGTAATTTAAGTAACTTAATGGCATGCTATAATTTTAAGATATTATTGCTATGTAGATAGATATCAGTACAGAGAGCATCAGCAAGTGATTAAGTACTGCACTCATTGCTGCACTCAATGTACTGTACACTGCCAGGAAGAATTAGGACCCAGTTAAGTTTTTATTCCTCTGCCATGGTTCATATGAATTTAAATTTTGGTAGAACAGAGATGCCAAGGAAGCTGTTTGCATATAAGTGACATGAAACTGACAGAATGATAGAATACAATATAATCAAATGTTTAATTTACAACATCTATAGGAATATTAATTAAAGAAGAGATATGCAACTGAAAGATACCAATATAGGGCCAAACCCTGAGCTCTTGACTCAGTTTTTACTTAGGCAAAATCCTATTAAAATAAATGGGAATCTGCCTGAGTGAGGAAGGAGTAAAAATTTGAATAAGGCCCTCTGGATTTGGCCCATTGTTTACATTTCTCTGAAATAGCTATGCAAAACGGATTACAGCTGTTCCTTTTAGAAGTTGGAAATGAATGGCCATTATTTTTATTGACCCCTGTGTAGGATAAAATACATTTTCAAGTAGCTATGGAGGGAAGAAAAAGAGAAAATAGTCAAACTGTAATTAGAGGTCCCATTGTTACAAAGCAAAGAATGCTTCAATAGGAACCTGAGCAAGAAATTACTATGAGCAATTATATGATCTTGTGGTAATGCCTTTCTGAATACAATTGCTATGAAATGATCAGTGGAGGAGAAGAAACAATACAGAATAGAAGAGGAAGAGACACCATCAAAAGTGAGCATTGGGAAGGAATAGGAGATGACAAAGGAAACAATGGAGCGGACTGAGCTGGGGATAAATAAGTAAGTAGTGAGAGAACAAGTAGAATACTGAAGTGTGTGTGTGTGTGTGAGTGAGAGACACACACACACACACACACACACGGGACAAACACAATGGAGCAAACCACACACAGCAAGGAAACTGAATTATTTATTGAGCATCACCAGTTTGCAGGGAGTGTGACAATACATAGACACAAATGCATTCCTTTCCCTCTAGATTAGACAAAATTCAGGCCAGTGGTTGATGAGAGAATGATTGACTTTAATTAATCTTGTGTCAAATATATTTCTTTGGTGTATTATCAGTGTGACAGGCATGGTGGGAAAGGTGTACTTTAACGGTGAGGTCTGAATGAAGACATAATGGAGAGAGAAAAACAGGACAGAAAGAATGGAATATAGGGAGGCTGCAAAGATGAGGGAAATCAGAAAAAGAACAGAGCAGAAAAGGGGAAGTGAAAGGTGATTACAGAAAAAAAAGTCACTATAGACAATCTCACCGAAGGTCATTCTAAACACCACTTTTTTTAAATTCCTGGGGGTTCTTTTTCAAGTGTACATAGTTATAAAGGTGAAAACACTTTACAAAATTAAAATTCAACACAGTTATTGAAAACACACAAAATATTTCAAATGTATTATCACCAGGGTGGAAAGAATAGAGCTTACTGAATACAAAACATTATGTTGATTTATTTGGTTTAATCATGATAATACACTTTATACTTTATAGTGTCTTCAGTATCAGGCTCTCAAATATTAATGAACTAAGCTCCACAAGTCTTCTGTGAAGAAAGAAATTATCATCCCAATTTTACCCTGAGAAAAATGAGGTACAGAAGATAAGTGATTTTGCTCAGTGTCACACAGCAAGTAGAACCCAGATCTCCTGAGTCTTCAGTGCTGTGCTTTAAGCACAAGGCTTTGCTTTCTTCCCCTTAGTTAAATGAAGGAAGTTTGTATTTGCAAACTGACAATGGTAAAGGTAAAACTGAACTCCAGATTAGTCACCCTAATGCAGTCCCTGGGGGGAATACTATAGTATATTAATCCTGGCCCAGAATTTGGAGACATAGTTCCATGGGGCATGATCCTACATTCCTTATGCTCCCAAAACTCACTGAGTTCAGCAGACTTTAGGGTTCCTCTGACATTATGCCAGCTGGGGATCACCAGAGCACAGTGGCACTGGCACTGCACCCTATTGCTCCTGGGAACATGACCCTTACACCAGGGGCAGAGTGGGAAGGAGGTGTTATAGGGGGATTCCATACATGTTGGGGAACCCTCATACATGTTGGGGAACCCTCAGCTGTCCAGTTAGGATAGTTTTACAGTCCCTTTGCATCTCTGTAGCAACACAAAGGGGCTGTATGTGGGGCCAGGATCTGTGTCAACAAGACTCAACAAAAAACCTACGCAGTTCTATTGAACAACAATATTATAGCTCATACAAACTTATCATAAAACTCTCCTCATTGTTAGTGGTATATTTCCTAGACAATATTTGGCTTTGTAATTAGCACAGAATTTGAGGGTCCAAAATTCATTAGAGGCCATTGACAGGGTTTGTAAACATTTAATTTTCCACAAAGGGAGTGGTTTACTGGTGTGAGAAGGAGGCTGGGAATCAGGACTCCTGTGTTCTCTTGCCAACTTTGCCAATAATTTTCCCTGCATGACCTGAAGAAAGGCAACTTGACCCATCTACAGAATGAAACAAGAATACATATCTACCACCCAGAGGTACAGTGAAGCTTAGTTCATTAGTGGTTTGAAGTGCTATGAACGCCTTAGATGGAAGGTGCTGCACCGTATAAATGATTATTTATTCATAATACTTCATGGAAATATGTGGTTAAATCGTTTCAATTCCTGTAAAATGTTTCTGAGAAAGAGAATTACTTACTGCCTTCCCACGTACAATGTAAGAGATTCAGTGCCCCCTCTACCCTTTTCCAGTGCTGAAGGTGAAAGAAAGCATATGCTATTGCTTCACTGTCCCCTCTCTTCAGAATATGTTCAGGGGGCAGTATTAAGCTTTTCATTTCTAGTAGATACTGCAATAGAAAGAGAGAACACAATTATTTCAGATGTAATAATAAACACAGTAGCTGCTTGCAATTCCTCAATGCACACTGAAAGCTCTATTTCTCTAAAGTACTTTTATTCCTAAGTGTTTCATCAAATATGTAACATCACAAACTGCACTTGAAGATAATTATTGAATTATCCCAAACACTAAAATATGCCACCAGATGGTTAATGTTGTGCTCTTCAGCTGTACTGGGGACCACAGAGAATTTCAAAATGAGATGTCTCTCTTATCAAAGAGAAAGAGAAATTTAAAAAACCCTCACACAACAGACAGGATGCTTGAATTACAACAGCTTTTGAATTAAAGTATTTATAATACAAGAAATGATGTGAGAAAGTAATGAGGTGCTTAAAGAATCTAGCCTCTCGCCAAAGAAATGGACAATAATTTTAGCTCATACACAAGGTCTTCATAAAACTATTTCCTTACAATCAGTGTATTATCAAGGATATGAATGTGGTAAAGTTTGCACCAGTGTCAGGATGGTGGGACAAAGGAGGACAGAAATGGACAGTGATTTTGGGTGCCTCAATTTTTGGGTGCACAACATGAAACACCTGAAAACAACCTGATTTCCAGAGGATGGGTGTTCACCATTCAAGCTGGGCACCCAAAATCACTTCAGAAAACGTAGGCCAAGTTGTTTATTGCAACATGGGACATACCAATGTCTAACACACAGACAAGTTCCCCAAAATATAAAGTGACAGAAATCCCAAGAATGTCCATGATACAGCAGTAGTTAAAGCCCCCAAATCTGTCCAAATGGATGAGCTTCTCTGAGCCTCTATCTACATTCCCCATAAGTTCCATCTGCTGGGTGACTCTCAGACCAGCATATGACTCCTTCTGCTTTGGTGCTATCTGCCTAACAATTCTTTGAGAGAGAGAGGTATCTGTATTTTAAAGACTCCTCTCCTTTCCCAGCCTGCTTTACCATGAAAGGGATGACAAGTAGTCTTTCCCTGTCTTTACATAGCCCACTTCAAGTAACTTACTCTTTCTTCTTTGCTGTAGAGCAAAGTGGCTCTGTGCCAGGACCTGGGTTCATCTTCAGGGAAGAAGACAAAAACTCTCCACAACCTGCTTCTTGGTCTTCTGAAACTGTATTAACCCAGTGTTTTTAGCACTGGGGAAAAGAGGAACTCTGACCTACCCTTCTCTCCGTCAGTTACAAAGCCTTAACTTAGATCACGATGACAAGTTGAGTTTGTTATTAAACAATGACTTGTTCTTCTTTGAGACCCGCTTCTGATTCCCCAATGACTTGTTTGGTCATGATGAAAGCAAAGGAATAAACAACCAAAGTGCTACTTCTAGGATGCAGAGCAGTAATAACCTTGCACTACAAAAGGGTGAGTTATGGGTATGTATAAATGTTTCTTCTTCTGCAAGTGCCAACAGTGTGCTCAGCCCTGTATGATTCAGTTATCAAGAAAGTGCTCTGCACAGAAAGTTTACAGTCTTGAACACAGACAAGATCCATTGGGAGATCTAGAGGACGGAGATACCTTGGATAAACCTCTTATCCTCCTGACCCTCTTAATCTAATATTTTCCATTTTTTTCTATTTGTGGGTGTTGTAGAAGAAGGGAATCTTTAGAAATACTTTAATAAAAATGTATGTGTGTGCATGTTCGTGGCAGGGGGAGCTATCACATGGATACAGGGAGTGTATTCCATACATAAAGAGCTGCGTAGAAGAAGGTACGAAGATGGGAGTGGCAGAAGGAAATGAAGGTGTCATCAGGGCTAGGGTGATGCGGGTGAGGGAGAACACTGAACACCAATGGGAGACAAGATTCCAGTTCTAGACTGCAGTGGAGATAGGCAGGCTCTTGAAGGCTAGAATGAGAACTTTAAACTTGATACAACAGGCAATGGCCAGTGGGCTGATTTAAAGAGTGGGGTGACGTGGTCAGATCCAAAGGCAAGGATAATGTTGGCTTCAGTGTTTGGATGGATTAGAAGCGAGTGATTTGGGTATCACGAAGGAAGAGGGAAATAACAATGGCTTCACAAGCACATTAGCCATCAGGATAGAAAGAAAGAGAGATTTTAGTAAGATTATGTTAAAAGAAACCACCAGATTTAGGCAGGCTGGATGTGTGGAGAGAAGGAGAAGGGAATTAGAGGGGACACCAAGATTGCAAGCCCGAGAGATAGAAAGAAAGAAAGAAAGAAAGAAAGAAAGAAAGAAAGAAAGAAAGAAAGAAAGAAAGAAAGAAAGAAAGAAAGAAAGAAAGAAAGAAAGAAAGGAGAAAGGTGAAAAGTGAAGGTTGTAGGAGGTAAATGACTGAGCTCTGTTTTGGTCGTGTTGAGTGTGAGCTGGCAGTAGGCCCTCCAAGGCAATATGTAGGAGAGGCAGATGTGTGGGACTAGATGGAATGGGACAAAGCAAGCCTTGAGATATAGACTTCTGAATCATCCATATGTAGAGGATTGTAGAAACCGGGTGAGCAGAGAAGGTAGGCAAGAGATAAGGTGCAGGGGGAGAAGAGGAACATACTAAAAGAGAAACCTGGAGAGAAAGGAGGACAGGAGCTGCCAGAGGAGTCCCTGAAAGAGCAGTAAGGGAGACAGGAGGAGAACCATGAGAGAACATGGCTATGTAAGCAAAGGAAGGATAAGGCGTCAAGGGGAAAGGTGTGATCAACAGTAAAGAAGGCAGCAGAAAGGATGCAGTGAAGGCCCTGTGGCTTGGCGAGGAAGAGGTACTTTGAGCATCTGGTAAATATATTCTCAGTAGAATGGAGAGGGTGGAAGCCAGATTGGAGGGGATGCAGAAGTGAGTTAGAAGAGATGAAGTCAATGCAGCAGTTGAAAATGGACCATTTAATCTTGCCTGTTTGCAGAGCACCTAGCATGCTGTGGATGTTACCAGAAACAAGGAATAATTAGAGCTGGTCAGCAAAGGGAAGAGAAAAATTGCGAACATTTCTGCACAATTTCCTCCATGTTCTTTGACACAATTTCAAAAACTTTGAAATTTTCAGACCAGCTATACTACTGCTATTGCTAATATATAGGGCCCTATATATTAGCAATCTATAGACCTCACATCACAGACCATGAAAATCTGGTCTCCCTTGGGAAATCTGGTCTTTTGTGTACTTTTACCCTATGCTATAGGCAAGGGATCGGCAACCTTTTAGAAGTGGTGTGCTGAGTCTTCATTTATTCACTCTAATTTAAGGTTTCCCGTGCCAGTAATACATTTTAACGTTTTTAGAAGGTCTATTTCTATAAGTCTATAATATATAACTAAACTATTATTGTATGTAAAGTAAATAAGGTTTTTTAAATGTTCAAGAAGCTTCATTTAAAATTAAATTAAAATGCAGAGCCCCCCAGACCGGTGGCCAGGACCCTGGCAGTGTGAGTGCCACTGAAAATCAGCTCGCGTGCCACCTTCGGCACGCGTGCCATAGGTTGCCTACCCCTGCTATAGGCAGTGTTTCTCAAACTGGGGGTCCTGACCCAAAAGACCCCAAGGCTATTTTAGAGGGTTGCAGTATTGCCACCCTTACTTCTGCGCTGCCTTCAGAGCTGGGTGCCCAGCCAGCAGCCGCCACTCTCCAGCCACCCAGCTCTGAAGGCAGCACGGAAGTAAGGGTGGTAATATGCCATCCTCACTTCTGTGCTGCTCCTGGCAGCAGCGCTGCCTTCAGAACTGGGTGCCCAGCCAGCAGCCGCCACTCTCTGGCCACCCAGTTCTGAAGGCAGCACAGAAGTAAGGGTGGTAATACCATGACGCCTTTACAACAGCCTTCTGACCCCCTTTAGCATCGGGACCCCAGTTTGAGAAACGTTGACTAAAGGGCTTTACATGTTTATATTTTACCATTTTAAAATACATATTCCTGCTTTGTTACAACCCCGTGTAATTTAAGATTTAAATATCTGAAACTGTGAAATTCCAGATTTTTTAAATGCTATGACTGTGAAATTTATGAAAATGGATTGTGAATTTGGTAAGGCCATGCTAATGTGGGATGGCAGAAAGGTTACTGTGATACTCAGATGATAGATGTTCCTGTTTTAATGGAATATTATGATCTGCTACCAAAATATGGTTTCTATATCCCACACCTGAATATGTATTTTGCATGGGGGTTGTCTGCGCTCTGAGAACATCCTCACAGATAGAGAAAGCAATAAAGTCTTGGTTTAAGAGCTGTTATAATACATGGAGCTATTTGATTACCTATATCGGAACTTTGGAGGGGTGAGCAGACTGGTTTTGGTGGGAGTAGGGAAATGCATTCACCAGGGGAATAAGTTGATGACAAAGGGTTGATTGAACATAAGCCAGAGATGCATGACAAGGGAGCCCAGCATGATGGACTAGAAACATGCTCTCTCTGAGGTAACTGAAGGTAGACAGCCTGCCTGGTAAGCTTATAGCAAAGATCAATCCTAGACAAGAAAGAAATGTGGTTAACTTTGTTTTGTCTGTAAATCTCCTTTTTACTCTGTGCTTTTACTCTACTATTTAAGTATCTTGTTTTTGAAGAAAGAGCTGTTGTGTGTCACACTGGTCATCTGCCTTCAAAAAGAGAATCAAGCCAGTGCCCCACCCCACACCCAGAAGTGCTTGTCAAGTTAAAAGGGGCTGGGAATGCAGACACCTACCCTGGCTTTGGTCTGGAAGGACAAGGATTGCAAAATCCACCGCAGGGCAGAGGGAGTGGAAAGAGCTGAACAGGCACTCACTAAGGGCCAAGTTAGAGACCAAAGTGAAATGGGTGTAGGGGGGCATAATCCTTTCACAGTCACGTTCATGGGCTGGTTTTGAGAATGGAGGACACTAGGCCATGCTTGTATGCAGAGCAAATGAGAGGCAGAAGAGAGGAAAAGATTGAGGGCGAGAGTAAGTGTTAGGCATGGTGGGTCAATAACCCCGAAGGGATGGGGTTGAGAGGACAGGTGCAGAGGAAACAAATGTGATGTCAGAGTCAG